TATCGAATTTTGTTGAGTTATCGAATTTTAGTGTTCTTGAAATTCATCGAACTATCGAAATGTAGCAAATCATTGAAATTTATCGATAAATTTGAATGTATCGGGTCAATTCCAAGTCCTGCCGAAGTCCTCCAAAGACCTTCTCTGATAAAAAAAATTTAGTTACGTTTTAGCTGAAGATTTTCCGGTTAGTTAATTTGTACCGTATAAGTTTCTACGTGTTAAGTTAGAAAACCTCTCCAACGCTTCTAAAACTAGAAAAACTGTCGAATTTCGACAGTAACTGGCACTCTAGTCTTAATTAAAATATAAAACAATTTCAAAAGAAACTGATTTTTTTTTTTAATTCAAAGTCAAACCATCTAAAGTGACTTAAGCTACTTTAATTGAACGGCACAGATATAATGACGAAAGTTTAGTGTGTCGAATCGGTATCGGGTACCGAAAAGGAAGTATTGGGTACCGAAATTTTTTTCAAGTATTGGGTACCGAGAATTCAGCACATCACTACTCAGAATGTCGCCTGAATAATTTTAATGACATTTGTTAACGTGGATGGAGCAATTTGTGAACCAAATGAAAAAAGTGGCGCATTTTAGGAGCTGGTGTAGTTTTCGTACTAATCTCAATGAATAAATAGTACCAAAATGTTAAAGGTAGAATTTTGATTTGAAAGAAATACTGGTGGAATAACAAATACACCAAAACGTTATTTTTTATTCAATCTAATCAGATTTGTACCAAAATCCATAAATTTACACCAATTTATACACCAGTGTGCTACTTAAGGAGTAAGACTAGAGGTCGATCCTAATATTATTATTTTTAATAAGAGCAATGTACGTATTGTACACTATACCCCTAATTATAAAAGCATATAAGCATACATTTTGTGTTACTGTCAGGCATTGTTATTTTTGCTTGTTTGTGAAATGTGCAAACGTTTGTGAAGACATTTATAAACGCGTTTTACTTAGTTAATTAATTAATAATTGTATATGCATGCGAACCTTTTAAGGATAATATATTTGTGTAAATAAAAGTGATAGGTGTGGAGTTATAATAAAATGTTGTGATAGCAGGCGGGATATTTTAACAACAAATAACTTAAGTACAATTAGCAACAACATAGTGAAAGTGATAAATATAGTTAAAGAGACCTCCATTAGTATCCCCACCGAGTTTCATAAAAAAATTCACTATACTTTGCACGGAATAGCAATTGGTTCCGTAATGGAAATCTCAGCCGATCTTCTTGTGGATATAAGAGGTAGCTGCAAATATTTCTCTATTTCTAGTTCATAAATCGCTGCCTTTTTTCTTGTACGTTCGCTGCCTTGTCTACCAATCATTTGGCTATCCATATCACTAGAAACACTAGAATCAGCATCAGAGCCGTTGGCGATTTCCTCAAAGCATTGCCAAATATCCTCGTGAGCCCGATCTTCGATGGAAGTTCGGCATTTTTCATATGATTCAACTGGTTTCTCCATGCTAACAGATTTATAATTTAGAATTAGTTCATCAACAACCCAGTTTTTAGCTTTATTGGCGTCAGAAAAAAAACGAGTTTTGAAACGGTGCGAATCCGTTCCGAAAAAATTACAACAATGGTGCGACTATATATTGGAACATTCACAGCTCTTCATTTCGTCGTGCCGAAATTGCAGACGTACGCGTTCGGAAACGAAAAAGGTTAATAGGCGGGTTCTGTATAATTTAAACAAAAATTAAAGCAAAGAATTTGATGAAGATTGTTTTTTGTTTGTTTATAAGATGCCATTTTTCACTGCGATAGCATCGCACAGATGGGTGCGAAGGTCGAGGTGAACTCGAGCCGGCAAAAAAAACAATATTGTGAAATTTATTAAGGGCAGCAGTCTACCGGATATCCGATCGGATATCCGAATCCGGCTGTTATTTTTTACAGAATATCCGCAATCCGGGTATCCGGCAAAATCTATATCCGGCACATCCCTAGTAAAAACTATCACTAAACTTGTACCATTTTTTTTATGCAAACCGATAAATTTTTTTTCGAAGTCCGTACACTGGGTAAGTCCGAGTAAAATTCGAGCGGTAAGACTAAATATCACACCTCATCCTGACAGCTCAACCTAATATCACCGGCGTTAGTTTTTCTACGCAAATTTTTCACATTTGATAAACCGAAATGAATTTGCGTGCGTGATTTCTCAGAGTTGCATTTCTGTAAAATTTTCAGAAATTTGTTGAACAAAATTTAAATCCATAGTCGCGCCAAAATGTCAATTGAGCATAAACGCCAAATCGAAATGTCACGCAAGACAAATCTTGGAATTTGAGTTAGCTTTTTATGCACGCCGCTCATTCCGGTTAGTCCCATGCAAGTTGTATGCGCATGAGAAATTTTTGACAGTAAATTGGCGGCGTGCGTGAATATTAGGTTGGCCTGTCACTGTCTCAGCTGTTTTGCAAATGATGAGGCGAAAATATCACAACATTTCGTTACGCTTTCCCTTTTGTTCAGTATAAGTGGACCGACATACATATTTGAATAAATGTATATTAGCCAAATATTTGTACAGTATAAAGTCTAGTACACGATTTAAAGGACTTAAAAGACTCGACCAATCGACAGGTATTCGCCTATTACCGTATTTTTAAAAGTTACCATAATACATGAAATATAGAAATCAAATGTATCATTTAATGACCTCATGGTTATACACTTTTTTTTATATATGTACATATGTATAGCATAATTAACTTTATGAAGCTTGAAACAACGTTTCAATTTTTGATATAATTTAGCCCCTGCCGTCCCTGAATAGAAGCATTAAGCGCCAAGGAACTGTTAAAATCCTCATGCCAACAATTACGCAGCGCTAGCGCCGAGCAAATGGAATTTCTATTTTTGACAGCGCGTAGCGTGTTGAAGTTGGTGCAAAAACAGAAAGAAAGAAGAGGACAAAAAAGTGAGAAAGAGGAAATGAGAATTAAAACGGGTGGAAATGAGAAGACGTCAAAGTCACGTTGCGCTTATTTGTGTACCGCGCCCGCTGACACCCGTTGCTATTAGAAAAGCTAACGCTTAGCACTGCAATATAGGGACGGCAGTCTGACAATAGCACTGGAAATACATACATATACATATATGTACGTATAGAAACCCCATTTGCCACAGAGCGAGGACGAGTGGTAAGTCTTTTGGGTGAACTCGAAATGACGTCAAATAGAACTAATTTTTCCCATAAAAATTTTGTACTCTATTACCATAATTCAATAATAGAAAAGTTTTGTAATAAAACAGTCTTCTCGCTCCCACACATAAAATCGGCTCCTGTACTTGTGCAGAATGTTGCTTACTCTATGGTTTCTAGTGATATTAGTAGTAAAACCAAAAATTCTTCATACTAAATATTAATTGGCGTCACCTTCGTTTGCGTAATTTTTAAGTGTAGTATAGCGACCGTTTAGCTATAAAATAACCAAAAATGCCGATTGATAGAACTTTTTACGCTAATTTCAACGATACCAAATTTATTTGGCGCAGGTTAAAAATAAAAAAGATATAAGAGGTTTATTTGTATTTTTTATTATCACTAAATTGTTGAAACCCAAAAGTAGATCATGATAAAATATGTAATTTCGAATTAAAGATAATAACTTGTGCTTTCTAAATAATATAAATTTCTTTAACATTAATTATGCAGATTTTTTCAAAAAAGGTTATTTCATGAAAAAATATCATTTGTTCCTTTTTTATTGGTTTTGGTTTAAAAATACAAAAAGCTGTAAATTATGTACATCAGCTGAAGAAAAAATTAATTACCTTTATGGTGACGTTATTCGTTTTTTAATCGGTTATAAAGTTCATAAGATATTAATATTTAGAATATCTAAAAACTGAACTTTAACCTAGAACCTCTTCATTTTTTACTTGCGCCAAATCATTTTGGCATGGTTGAAATGAGCATAAAAAGTTCTATTGATCTCCATTTTTCGTTTTTGCATAGCTGAACGGTCGGTATTTTAGATTTTTTCCCGGAAATGACGAATAACTTAAATCAAAAACGTATATTTTTACGTATTGTTTAGTATTTGCATTAAAACACCAAATATATTGCAAATTCGCATAGAATTAATAATATACATTTTAGTTCTAATTGTATACTTTGCGTACTTTTTTTAGTACCATTCTACCACCGTTCTCGCAAAATGCGATCACATTCTTCCCTTTTCTCCTACCTCCAAAATGCAAATCTAGATAAAGGAGTGTCAAATTTTAGCTGTCACAAATTACACAACCTTGTATTATTGAATCATGCTCTATTACACTAAAATTTAATGAGCTATAAAACTGCTTTATGTTTGTTTTACATTCAGATTGAAAAGTTTGAAATTTTTAGGAATGACTGCTGATTTTTTATATATTGCACACAATTTAAAATTGGATTTGTATGGTTTTTGTTAAAGATTTTGATCACCGTTTTGCAGTTCGCTAGTATATCGGTATGCCGGCGAATCGATTTTGCGGCCCGCCGGCGAAATGTGCTTTTCATCCGACGGCGAGTCCTTGGCGAGTCCTTGGAGTCGTTACGAAATCGTTTGGCAAATTGGGAAGCCGATACTCTTATTACATACATATATGCAGCAGCAGAGCTTAAAGTCGAGTTTTCATATATCAATTGCCCGGCTATAAGCACTTTTGACGGTGCTCATATCCGAGAAACACTGTAAATTTATAATAAGCTTTTTTTAACAAAATTGCGTACTGTAGAGGTCAGTGACAGCACGACACCTTATTGTAAAACATTTGTCGAATTACTGCGATTACATTGTTATTTTTTAAGAAGAAGCTTTTCAACTTTTTCTGAAGCGTGATGTTTCGGATGAACCGTATAGGATGAAATCAAATTTTATTAATACTTTTGCAAGTTTATGTATTCTCATAAATAAACTAGTTTTGAATTCAGTTCACACTATTTGTATTTGGTATTTGTTTGCATTCCTCACAGAAACTCATCAAAGCAGAAATATCGCCGGCACATCAACGAAAACGCTCTCGGAATAATACGCAGCACCCTCAACAGTGGCGGTTTCGGCCCCCAGCCTCCTAACCTGAACAATGAGCTTGGTATACCACCAAACGCGGGACCAATGAGTCAACTAGCTGCCGGCTATGGTCGCCCAATATCGCATCCTGGAGGCGGCATGGGTGTGGCAGCAGCTGCTGCAGCGGTTACGGCGGCTACGAAGGAAAGGGGTATGTTCTCTCTTAGCCAGCTCAATATAGACTTGGACGAAGTGCATAACAACAATGGCCGCATGGAACTGACGTGCTTGTCCACAATACCATCAGCAATCGGCCAAGGGGAGCAGTTTGCTGATTACAAGACATACTCAGTGAAAGGTGAGTAATGGTTACCTTATTTAATTGTGCCTTATTTTCTGCCACATTACACTAAAACACCTTAAACTCACACCTCACTAACACTCGACCCTAATTTGATGCAATATTGCAAAGTGATGTAAACATAAAACTAAGCTAAAGTATGAAACGCATAGAATTGTAAGTATATAAGTATGGATGTGTTCGCGTATGTGTGTTTGGCTGTGCGTTTTGTTCTTACTTTACTTGCTGGGGTTAATACATATTTATATGTATATGTATGTACATAGATACATATACAGAGTCTTTTTAAAATGATTGAACAGCTGAATTGCATATTTTCTCTCTACCCTAGTACAGGAGAATGTAATCCAAGACGAAATGGCGTAAATTTAGGATGTCAACAAAGCGAAATGGCGAAAATTATTTCCTATTCCTTTTCGTTTTGACATCCTGATGTACCAAAAAGTAATAACAAAATACACGGGGTTTTTACTAATATGCAATTGCCACCACCTTATATGGATGCGCCTTGATTTATAGTTTAATTCTAGTTTTGCCAAGTTTTGAATTTGAAAAAGTACTAAAACCCAGCAAAAATCACGTTTTTCCAGAAAAAAGCACCAAATTTTCATTGGAGTTTTGAATGGACTTGGTATTTTATTTATATACCTATTATAGGGATGCCGACTCAAATTAATAAAAACTAATTGTTCTTGCTCGACGGTTGAATATATTATGTGGGTCATTCCATGTAAAAGAGGAAAACGACATATATTTAAAGATGCCCTAATTATCTCTATTTCAAAAGTAACCCCTTTCTAAATGACTAAATTTTAACTATCTGTTGAAACATATTCAAAAAATAAAAAGACGATGTAATTTTTGTCTATGGAAACTTTTATTTTATGCATAATTACTTTACACAGGGACTCCAGTCACAAATTTAGATATTTTTTCATATTCCTATAAAGACTATATAAGCCTAATTTTTATTGAAAACTAAAACGTACAGTTCATGTTTTACAACACAAAAACATCGTTCGTTAAGATTAAAATTCATCTTTGAGTGCACAAAGGTAAAATAGAGTTCTTTTCAGTGCCCACCAATCACATTCATTCCAATGCTATTTACATAAAACTAAGAAATCGTGTGGTATTTTTGTTAAAGCAATTTTATACATTAGTTATCGTTCTATGTTAAAAGAAATATCTTTCGCTGTTGTATAAGTTCCGACGACATAGTATTGAAAACGCACCATGGATGACCAGCCCGCTATGAAGTGAAACCATCGAGTTTCTAATAGAGAATCACACAGCTACAGAGTAGCCGTCTTTATTTATATAACATTCTAAACCTAACTGCCTACATAACTAATCCACTGTACATAACACTTCGATTGTGCTATGCGCATATAACTTACACCTAATTAAACACTAACACGCATCCAGACACTTGTCCACTGAGATTTAAAATACAATGCATATTTCGTACTTTTGGCTTTGCACATAAACGTAAGCCACAAATCATGCAATCAAGCTTCTCTTACCCAAGTGATAAGTGTCCTCGAGTCGCATGGTTTGCTTTTCCTTACCTAAATATTTCATTTCTTTCTTTGCATCAAAGATGCAACACATAGACACTATCGTATGCACATACATACATGTATGGCTCATTCCATCTCAAATCACCCAGGCCGGGGGAAAGTGAATTTAAGTTTGCGATTAAACTCACAGGGATTGTTCCTTGAACAATTTAAGGAGACACGTATTTTTTCTTTTTGCTCAGAAATGCGAATTTTTCGATTAATGAATTTTTTTCTTTATGAGTACGAACCCTTCTTTTTTCCTCTCTTAATAGCAACTTTTGATGAAATCGTTTATAACTGCCGCAAAAAAGCAAGGATTTTAACGATTTTTTTTAAATTGCAGATATTGATCTACTGAATCGATCTAGTGAACTAAACATCAGTAATTGTTTATTAATAATTAATTATTGTTTATAAAGAAAACAATTTTTTTTTTCAAATTGATTTTTTTCAAATTGCCACATTTTTTTTTTCTCTCAAACTTTTTTGTCTATTAGGAATAGTAGAAACTATTTTCAGTACGAGTAGCAATATGCTAAAATTCGTCGTTTTCGAGTTATGATTTTTTTTTTTGAAAATGCACTTATATGATGCTAGCAGATTTTCGTGCCAGTTGAGGGCACAAAAATTGTTGCCCATTATGACAAAATTTCCTTGCTGGAAATTTTTTGAGGTTGCCCGATCAGAGCCAAA